TGCCGGGCCGCGTTTTCATTGGTCCGGCCTCCCTCTGCGTACAGCGCGGCTGCTTATCGTAGTGACACCGCTGTCACGCTAACGTGTGTTTCGCCCGGGGAGTGAGGTGGCCTCCTCTAGCGCTTTAGGTGCCCCAGTAAGTGCAGGCAGAGCAGGTGACCAGGGCAGAGAGCGGGCAGGCAGTGGGCAGAGAGCTGCACTGACGCTGCAGGCCAAAGCCAAGGCCAGGCTTCAGTCTGAAGGCTGAACGAGGCTAAAGGAGTGACGGTTGATATGCTGTTCTGTGACAGAATACATTTACTCATCCTCTCTTAAAAAAGAGGGTTCTTTAGTAACAGAAATGCTTCTGTTTAGAACCGTAGAACTACTGCATGCCTAAATGGTTATATACATTAACAAATGTGTTGTATTTGGTTCTATATAGAACCTTTTTGAATAGGATTCTATGTAGCATGAAAAAAGCATCCTTCTGTTGTGACAAGCTTGACATTGTAACAGTAGCAGAACCCTTTCTGATGTGATCTAGAACAATATACAAAGCATTCTCCATCAGTCTGAAGAACCATTTCATTATGTAAGCATGAACTGGTTCTATATAGAACTCCTGGTTCTAAATATATCCATTCCCCTTAATAAATTTACTCATGCACTCTTAAAAAGATCTTCCAGGGTTCTTTAGTAAAGACAGTGCTTCTATTTAGAACTACTACATGCGGATGGAGAATGTGTTGTATATGGTTCTATGCAGAACCTTTTTGAATAGGATTCTATGTGCCATCAAAAATGGTTCTTCTGTTGTGACAAGCTTGACATTGCAACACTAGCAGAACCATTTTGATGTGATATAGAACAGTATGTAAAGCCTTCTCCATCAGTCTGAAGAACCATTTTATCATGTAAGCATGAAATGGTTCTATATAGAACACATGGTTCTAAATAGGGTCATTCTTCTTAATAATAAAACTCACACACTCTTAAAAAAGATCTTCAAGGGTTCTTTAGTTAAGAAAATGCTTCTGTTTAGAACCATAGAACTACTGCATGCTTAAATGGTTCTTTCCATGGTGAAATGGTTCTTCAGATTGATGGAGAATGCGTTGTTTATGGTTCTTTTTGAACAGGATTCTATGTAGCATCAAAAAGGGTTCTTCTGTTGTGACAAGCTTGACATTGTAACAATAGCAGAACCCCTTTTGACGCTACGTAGAACAACATACAAAGCATTCTTTATCAGTCTGAAGAACTATTTCAACATGCAAGCATGAAATGGTTCTATATAGAACTCCTGGCTCTAAATGGAGCCATTTCCTTCAGTAGAGAACCCTCGAAGAACCATCTTTTTTAAGAGTGTAGAGCATTTTTAGTGTGTATGGTTTTGAAAGATCATCCCTGCTGTCTTGTTATTGTTATATAATCAGTCATATTTATATTCAGTTCACATTCTGCATCAATGGGTCCAAGTCTGCACTTTTTTGATTATTTTGACATCAACAAATGACAGAAACATGGCAAAAAATGTAAAGGATGTGTTTTTCTTTCAGCAAAACTACAAAACTACTTTTCATCAACTACACATAAATAAATAAATAAATAAATCTCCTTTTCTACCTGCAAACACAGATGTAGTGTTGGTAGTTTTGAATGAGCTGTGAGTGAGAAATAATAAATATTAATATAATATAAAATTACACCCTGCTGTTAGCTTCTTATAGGCTTTCCATGGATCCTATTTTTGTATATAGATGTATTATTGCTATTATTATTGGAAAACATAGAAAACCTTTAATATTTCTTTATACCGTTTGAAAATGCTAGAAAATACTGATTGACGTGTAGATTGTGTGAACATTTTATGATGAACAGACCAAACGAAAGGGTCCAAAATCGCTCAGAATTAAATGTCATTACATTCATTTACATTAAAGTGTTTTTTTTTTTAACTTTTCCTATAAAGTAACCTTTTTGTCAGGTTTCGACATGTTAAGTGACGTTAATTATGAAAAGCATTTTGTTCAACTACACCAATAAGGGAGCCAACATTTTTGAAAGGTGTTTATGCATTCATTAATAGCCATTACTGGGCAAATTTTCCATTCTTAAACCTTTTATTAAGGTAGTTTTGTAAAGCAGAACCATTTTTTTTCTTTAAGAAAAACCCTTTCAACGTTTGAAGAACCTCCATATAATGTAAAGGTTCTATACCATTTAGAATTTTCCTAGAACTGTGTGTAGAAGCCAAGAACCACTCATTTTTGAGAATGTCTGTGCAGAATCAACATTGGTAAAGCATTAAAGTCAAATATGTGTGATAGTGATCTGAGAGAGAGAGAGAAGAGTGTGTGAGAGAGAGAGAGAGAGAGAGAGAGAGAGAGAGAGAGAGAGAAGAGTGTGAGAGAGAGAAGAGAGAGGGAGAGAGAGAGAAGAGTGTGAGACAGAGAGAAGAGAGAGAGAAGAGAGAGAGAGAAGAGAGAGGGAGAGAGAGAGAAGAGAGAGGGAGAGAGAAGAGTGTGAGAGAGAGAAGAGAGAAGAGAGAGGGAGAGAGAGAAGAGTGTGAGAGAAGAGAGAGGGAGAGAGAGAGAAGAGAGAAGGAGAGAGAGAGAAGAGAGAGGGAGAGAGAGAGTGAGAGAGAGAAGAGAGAGAGAGAGAGAGAGAAAGAGAGAGAGAGAAGAGTGTGTGTGTGTGAGAGAGAGAGAGAGAGAGATAGAGAGAGAAGAGTGTGTGAGAGAGAGAGAGATGTTTGAAAGAGTAGGGAGGTGTCTGGTGGCGCTCACTGTGGTATCAGAGGCGCGTTCTCTGTGTTCTCCGTATGAAGCAGTACAGCTGTGCCGGAGGAGCTGAGCTGAAGAAAACACTCTGCTCTCCATCCAGAATAGCGTTTGATTTGTCAGACTCAGCAGTTTGTTCTGCTGCACAGAAAATACAGTACAGTCTGGACACTGACACTGTGTTTACAGTTTTGGCTCTACAGGTCTACCTGAGCACACTGGACTCGAAATGAAATGATGACTATGAGGTTAAAGTGCAAAGTTCCAGCTTTGACTTCCTGGATATTTACATAGAACTGTGTGTATCATATCGTTGTTGTCCTAAAAACAAACAAACAAAAAAAAACATACATATCCAAATAATACCTTTACAGAAAAAGGTAAAAACTTGATTACATTTTTATGTAAGTTAATGTAAAAAGATTTTTTCTTCAAGTGATGTAGAAAAAAGCAAAAAATGGAAATTGCAGCCCCTTTAAAACACAGTCTGTGTTTCATGAACCGTAAGTAATTGGACATTTGGCCACTCAGGTGTTTCTTGTCCAACCGATTGTGACTGCTTCATTAGTTCATGCACAAGACAGCTAACAAAAGCTCATTCTACATAGTAAAAAATGTCCATAGACATTGAACAGAATTTTTCTGTTTTTTAGTTTTGTCCTGTAATTAACTACATTACATCCTCGATGGTGTTTTGTGTACAAAATGACCCGTTCAGCCCATATTTCTGTGTAGTTTTGTGATTGTCAACCAAGATCACAATGCTTTGCTTTAGTCGAGAGCACAGAAGGCAAGATTTTTCTCATTTGAGTTGAAAGAAAGGCGATTTTTTTACAGATAAAACTGTATAAAGTACTACTTTATGGAACACTCCATATGTAGAGTGGGAGGATTGTTGTGTGTACTAAGAATACGTTCTGTAATTGAATTTTTCATTTTTACGGAATGATTTTTTTCCTGGTGATATTTGCCTTCTGTTGCTGTTTTCTTCAAGACCAAAGAAATGTCAGCACCATCATCATGAAAAATCAGGAAAAATCAATCAGACAGGGCCAAAATGTGATTGTAATCCACAGCGACACAAGCAAGAAAGTGATTGTGAGACCAAAATACCACAAACATTTATGCCCAGAACACTTGCAGTTATGAAGAGAAACAGCTGAATAAGCTGTTCATTCAAATACAATATAGCTGCGGAACAAAACCTCGTATCTCCATTTTTGTCATTTTTCAGTTTTTGACATAATTTGAAAATGCCTGTTGGTTTTTATGTTGTGTGTGAGTTTCATGATACATAGACCAAAGGAAACGGCCCAAAATGACTTCTGGTTCCATTGACTTACATTAAAAGTATAGTATGTTTTTTCCTTCTCCTGTAAAGTTACCATTTTGGAGATATGAGGTTTTGTTCTGATGACAGCGATATACTGGACTCAATGTACAGTATATCTAAGAAATGTATATTTTGAAAAACGGTGCTCCAGAATTTGTGTTTGGTTACTAATGTAACCACAGACCTTTGATATTTAACCAAAAATGTCTGGCATATTTTTTTACCTCCAATTTTCATTTAAACTGCTAAACATGCCTATGGAGGACAACTGTGAGCAATATCAGTTGAAAATGTATTCTTTCTCTGGCCTTTATCAGTCAATCAATGAATGAATCAATCAATCAATCAGTCAACCCTTATTTAAGCTCAGAGTACATTAAGACAGACATGCGTTTACAATGTAGCTGAGCCAATACAGAAATCAGCGATTGAGTTAAATAGTAACAGCATAAGATATGCTAAAAAAGTCATAATAATCAATAGTAGTGAATAAATAAAAAACAATAAACCACTAAAAAAACATAAAACTACAAAAATTACAACAATATAGTAACTAAAATAGAAGAGGGATAATTAAAAATGATATCATTAATAAAATAAAGAAATAAAAGGTGTAAAACAATAACTAAAAACAACTAAAAATCACTTTAAAAGTTAACTAACTAACTAACAAGTAAAACAGTTGCAGGCTGATGTCTAAATCTAGAGTTCTGTTTTTTTCTAAAACAGGTGAAATATTGTAATATTCAAAATATTTAATTTACATAGTGGATTAAATGGGTAATATGAATTTTATGAGTAATATGAAGTTTACCCTCTCATGGCTAATCTCATGCTATGCTACTTGCATATAGTGCAGTGTGTTTAATTATTAATTGCTCTGTAATGTAATTCTGTTGCAGTCTCTGCTGGTGGCGCAGCAGCTGGCCTCGGCGGTGAGTGGAGTGATGTCGGGCGGAGCTCCGGGTCTGAACCAGCCCATCCTCATCCCCTTCAATGCGGGCGGTCACCTGGGTGGGCAGCAGGGCCTGGTCCTCTCTCTGCCCACTGCGGCTAATATCCAGGGCCTGGTGGCCGCCGCAGCCGCCGGAGGCATCATGACACTCCCTCTACAGAACCTGCAAGGTAAGAGTACGCTAGTGGTCTAAGGTGGGCAGTAAAGGTGTAATCGGGCCTGGGTCATCAAGGTATCTGCCCCTGGGCACTGGGCCCCGGACCCCTGCCTAGCTACCTTACTTTGGGTGGTCAGGGAATTTTCTACACTACCACAGCAGGTTACAGCAGGTTACAGCAGGATCCAATGCCTTATGACCCCTTCTGTGAACCTGCAGCTCGAACCTGCCACACCATAAAGGCAGCATATTAACAGCGGTGCTGGGCGCGTCACCACTACACTCTTAAAAAGATGGTTCTTCAAAGGTTCTTTAGCAAAGACAGTGGTTCTTTATAGAACTATGAACGCCTAAAGTAATCAAATGCCGGCTTAAATGGTTCTTTGTATGGTGAAATTGTTCTTCAGATTGATGGTGTTGCACCAAATAGGGTTCTGCTACTGTGATGATGTCAAGCTTGTAACAATAGAAGAACCCTTTTTGGTGCTATATAGAACCATACACAACACATTCTCCATCAATCTGATGGTTCTTTAAGGCTTCTTTAGTTCTTTTCTTGGTTCTTCAGATTGATATGGAATGTATTGTATTTGGGTTTATTTAGCACCAAAAAGGGTCCTGCAACTGTGACGATGTTAAGCTTGTAACAGTAGAAGGTGCTATAAAGACCCTTTTTCAAAAAGCTTCTGTATAGAACAGTATACAACTCATTCTCCATCAATCTGAGGACAATTTCACCATGCAAAGAACCATTTAAGCATGCAAATGACTCTTTGAGTGTTCCAGGTTCTATATAGAATCACTGTCTTTACTAAAAAGCTCTTGGAAAAAAAAAAATCTTTTTAAGACTGTATATAATAAGAAATGCATATATCCAATCAGTCAATCAAGACAGAACAATATCAAGATTGTGCATGCATTAACAAGAGCACAGGTTAACATACACCCAACGACCAATGCAAGGCTTCTTGTAAAGCATGCGTCACTCCTGACCAGCAAACATTTATGTATCAATGAAGATGACAAATTAAAATTGGATAGTTGGATTATAAATAATAAAAAAAGCAGCAAACATAACTCCAACCATCTAGCATCCTAGGCTAAAGCATACTGCCAGAGCGGGCATGAGAAATGTTTTTTTTCCCCATTTATAATACTTTTTTGATGACTTTATGGAATGGAAGTACACAATTTGCAGATCACTACCGACAAGGACAGCACATATGGTTGACATTATATACCTGGTCATTCTGCCGAAGTATTGGATCTCACTTTCACAGATTCCCCAGGCACGTTTGTTGAACATCTGAGCTTCAAATTTAAAGTAAATTCAAATGTAATAATGTTAGCTCACTGCTAAAAACCTGAAATGGATAGATGAATGGTTGCTTAGCAAAGATTGAAGGAGAAGATGAAACTGATGTTCAGGAAAGACATGGAGAGAGTCAGGATTATGATCAACCATAGAACAATGACAAATGTGAAATTAGTTCATTTTTTAGCTGTTTCACTAGTAATGTTCCCAGTGTGAGTCAAAATAGCTGTTTGTCATGATTACTCATGGGCCCCCCTAGTGGCCTGGGCCCCCGAGCACACAACCATAAAACCTATGGGATGATCTTGATGTAATGGTTTCAATTCAGTACAAAATAAGAAAAAAACATATCACTGCTGTCAGAACGAAAACCTTGTATCTCCACTTATGCTAATTTTTAGATTTTGGCATAGTTTGAAAATGCCTGTTGGCCTTTACATTGTAAATAAATCTCATGATGAATGGACCAACAGAAACAGCCCAAAATGACTTGGAAGAAAGTCTGGTTCCATTGACTTACATTGAAAGTAAAGTAGGTTTTTTCCTTCTCCTGTAAAGTTACAGTTTTGGAGATACAAGGTTTTGGTCCGACAACAACAATAAATATGTGGTAAACATCGACTACGAACGTATAGTAATTTAAAACAGCTCTCAGTCTCTTCTGAGGGTGTCTAATTTGCTGTCTTTAGGGAAAATCACTGTGAGTGATCATAAGTATGTCAAAATCTGGCATTGGAGGTATCCTATCAAAGGGGTAAGGGGGGTAGGGGTCATGCTGTGCACAGACACATACTCAAAAGACTGGGCTTTGTTCTGAAGACTGTTACAAATTATATTATTTGTGCTTGTAATTCCATAAGACTGCAACATACAAGGCGAAACATGTTAAGTGTTACAAGTCTTTTACAAGCTTCAAATATGTGTGTTTAATCTAGAAAAGATAAAAAAAGTTTGTGTGGACAAGCATTGACTTAGCGCTAACATACTATTAGAAATCCCATAGGGAGGCTTCAGGAAATTGTCATTATAGTGAAGGCGCGTTATTTTTTCTGCTTGATATTTATGGCCCAAAATGAAGATCTAGCCCTAGTAGTCATGGTTCATCACTGAATTGTATTACCTTAAGTGTCACAATCCAATTTTTTATTTTTACCCCTACCCCTTGTTTTCGAGTGTCTCCTTGCCCCTTGGAACTGAGTTACAAGGGGTAGTGGTTGAAATCTTCCCTCTGAAATGGGACCCTTGAATAAAAAAGAGCATTACTTCATTAACAGCTACTAGCGCTGCTCTGTAGGTGACCCTGCCAGTCTGCAGTGACAGCAGAGGAGGGTAAAGTTCAGCTCCTCACTGCTGGGCTTTAGTTACATTTAGGGCATCATATGACTTCAAAGAGGGGCAGTTATTTAATATTGCAGCAGTTCTGATGCCTGAGGTGCCAGAATGTAACTGCTGCACCATTTAAGATGAAATGGGAAAGTTAGCTAGCTAACTACTGAGACATCAGCATAATACTAGTGATTTTTTATGCTTGTTATGAAGAAAAGAGCGTTAATACACTGAAACGATATTAAACTACGATAATACAATGATTATCGTAATTTTTAACAGACACAATTCTCACATTTGTGGGTTTCTTGTTCAGCCATCTTGCCGGTTTTTCTTTTTTTCTCATATCTCTCTTAGATGCCTCTAAAAAACCTCCGTTTGGAGGGTCATGTAGCCCCAACACTTCACCCCACCCCTCTATCTCAACAAGAATCGGGACACCCTACCCCTAGACGTGAACATGCAAAACAGAGTGGTAGGGCTGAGTAGTAGGGCCGAGGGTTGAAATGGGATCAGGCCCAAGTCACTACGTTCAGAAGTCACAGAATCCTTAGCTGAACTCTGAAAGTTCAGTTCTTAAACTCGAGCTAAAAAGATCATGAAGACTGTACATTAGGTGTTCACCATTCCCCTGTTTCAACAACACAGCAATTACGGCGCATGTAAGCACTCACCGACGCGGCTCTCTCTCCGAGTACCTTTGTTATACAGCCGCCCGTGTGTTTAAGATGTACCTGCAATAGTCTTTCGGACAGAAACACTGAGTGCTTCTGAAGGATGGATGGAAGTGAATGGGGCTGAAAGAGGAGTTCGTATTCATTACAGGTCAGCGTTTTGCAGCCTGGCGCAAAAGCACTTTATGCCTCTTTCTCTTCTCTCTCTCTCTTCGCCGGAGCGTCTGTCCTGTCTTCTCTTCCTCACCTACCTCTCACTGACTCTCTCTCTCTCTCTCTCTCTCTCTCTCTCTCTCTCTCTCTCTCTGACTCTCTCTCTCTTTCTGACCGCACGTCCGTACTTCTTCCTCCGCCTTTTAAACTTTAATGCGCGAGTGTTCTCTTTTTGATCATAGTTGTAAATGGTTTTCATTTTAATGTTTAAAACATTGTCTCTTTTATACCATTAGACTGAGGGGTGGAAGGGGAAAACCATCACTCATCAATTTTGGATGAGGGTGCCTTCGCTAATGCCTGACTAAAAAATGCCAAGTTATAAATTTGAGTGCATGTAAAGTAGCACGTTTTTCTCCCCCCTTGCTCTTTTTTTTCGGAACGCTGGAGATTAAAATAATGCACGGGCTAGGGGGCCAAAGTGGCCCGAAAGAGAGAGGGAAGAGGGACGGATGGATGGATGGATGGATGGATGGATAGCTGAGGCGGCCGGATGGAGGGAAGACGACTCTAATGGACACAAACATGCATAAATAACAACAGGCTTTTAATAAACACTCATGTGGGTCGAAAAAACTCCTCAATGTACCCCGGACTCGCCTCGGTCTCGGTAATGCGCCCGTGGGGCCTGCCTCGCCCTTCTAGAACCTTCTAAAATAGACAGCAGGGAGGAGGTCTAATGCTCCAACTTTTATACTGCATCAATTATGACCAGAAGAGAAACTTTTCAGTGTCTCTACATACTTAAAAAGATGGTTCTTCAAGGGTTCTTTAGTAAAGACAGTTTGTATATAGAACCACAAACACTCAAAGAACCATTTGCATGCTTTAATGGTTATTTGCATGGTAAAACGGCTCTTCAGGTTGATGAGGAATGTGTTGTATTTGGGTTTTTGGGTTAGCACCAAAAGGGTTCTGCTACTGTGGCAGTGTTAAGCTTGTGCTGTGTAGTCAGTTGGTTCTTCAGTAAAGGAATAGTTCTATTTAGAACCATGAATTTTATATAGGACCGTTTCATGCTTAGGTGTTTCTTTGCATGGTGAAATGGTTCTTCAGATTGATGGAGAATGTGTTGTGTATGGTTCTATATAGCCCCAAAAAGGGTTCTGCTACTGTAATGATGTCAAACTTGTAACAATAGAAGAACCCTTTTTGGTGCTATACAGAACCATTGTCAAAAAACACCACCACGTCAGTGTTACTGCAGTGCTGAGAATGATCCACCACCCAAATAGTACCTGCTCTGTGAGGGTCCATGGGGGTCCTGACCACTGAAGAACAGGGTAAAAGGGGGCTAACAAAGTATGCAGAGAAACAGATGGACTACAGTCTGTAACTGTAGAACTACAAAGTGCACCTATATAGTAAGTGGAGCTGATAAAATGGACAATGAGCGTAGAAACAAGGAGGTGGTCATAATGTTACGCCTGATCGGTGTGTATATATATATATATTATCAGCTGAAATGAAATCAAATGTAAACAT